ATGGAGTTCTCCATGACACGCGCCATGAGACGGCCCTCCTCCTCCGCTGTCATGCGAGGAGGTGGTGGTGGGGATGGCGAAGGCGACGGCGAGGGCGTGGGCGTGAGGCCGCGCACCAGCCTACGCCCGCGCTCCTGGGGACCAGGCACTGCGCGCTCCCGACGTGGCCGCCGCGGCCCATACGCCGTGCCAGCGAAGAAGGAGGCATGCCGCACGTCGTGCTCGTCCCTGAGCCAGGTATCCCAGAGGAAGGAGTCCGGGGCGTACCTGTCGTCGTAGTACAGGTCGTCGGGGAGGAGGCGGCGGCGGCGCTTGATCTCTTGACGGCGTGCACGGCCGGTTGCCGGGACCGGCGGGATCGGCACACGGTCGGCGCTGAGGTGCCATCCGTTGGGGAGGTGGACGTCGCTCCAGAGGATGGGCGTCCTCGTCTCCCAATAACGGCGGCACACCGACGCGCGGATGTAGTGTCGGTCGCGCTCGCTGGCAGGCGTGGGGGCGACGGAGAAAGCGGGCTGCGCGGGGGCCCGGCATGGTGGTGATGCGGTCTCCTTCACGGAGCCGGCCTCGCGGTCGTGCTTCCCCTTGCGGTTTCAGAAGCCCATGGCTTCGAGGTGGCCGGCCGGCGAGCTCAACAAGAGAGGGCTAGGGTTTAGCGCAGTCGGGTTTCGAGAAAGCCGCGGGATGGAGTGGGGCAGTGTGGACGACAACCGGTCCACGGGTTCCCCATTTAAAAAGGACGACGACCTTCCACTGGACCGATGTCAGGTAACGTCGGCCATCCGTGCAAATTGATGTTGGCGGGCGGGAGGTAGGTGGCCGCCACGACGCGCGGCCAGACGCGGACGAGCGGCTCGTCCGTTTGTTGTCCGCGGCGACCCAAACCCGACGAGAAGATGTGCTCGAAATGGTTCGGCCCAAATACAAAATGGACCAGATGAGTTTGGATCATCGCGCGTTGAACCGCATCGTTTGTCCGTTTTACTTTAAACAGACAGGGCCGGATATAATGAGGTCGTGCGGTGGAGTTGGCGTGAGTGGCCTCCGGCGGGCGTACGTGGTACGTACACGTCCCTGCCGACACCGAGATCCCGCGCGGAAATGAATACGGTACCACGACTAGCACTCCCGTTAACGTCGTGCCGTCGTGGTCCGGCGCGGGCAGGCGTCGCGTTCAAGACACTGACCGCTTTAACTCGCGCCCCGGGAAAACGAAGTTGCATTTCTCCTGTGCGTACGTACGGTGCGTGCTCGTCAAGAGCGCAATGTGATGTGATCGGTGCCGGCGCCGGAGCATGGATGGTCGCCATCGCAATCCCGTGGTGGCGCTACTGCTACTGCGACCTATGCCTGCCTCTTTACGATCACCACGGCTATGGCGTGCACGGCAGCAACAGTGGTGCCGAATTAACAATGGTTTGTTTGTGCATTGCGGGCGCGTGCATGTAGCGCAGGCATGTGTATGCCGCCGTGCCACACTTTAGCCGCCGCGGTCTGCGCCGAAATAATTTTGGGCTCGTGATCATTGCCGAACAGCTCATGCCGGAACCCGAGCAAATGATAAGGCCTCTTTTAGTTCATAGGATAGGATATCATAGAAATAGGAATTTTATAGGAAATGAGATGACATGTATCTCAAATCCTATGAATAGGAATAGAAAACAAGATGTCATTTGGTTGACATGAAAGGAATTTTTCTATTGAGTTTAGGCTCTTTTTTATTTTCCTACAAAATGTGGAGGATAGGAACCAATCATGTGTAGGAATAGGAATCCATTCCTATGAACCAAAGGGTTCTAAAGGAAAAAAACCCTATAAAAATCCTATTCTCTAGAATTTTTATGAAATTCATATAAACCAAAGGAGCCTAAGGAGTAGATCGGTCAGCTTTAACTCCCGGCCGCCGAGCCGCGCCAGTCTGGTGTTGTTAGTTTAATAATGACGATGATGGTCAAGGTATCAGCTGGCAGAGTCGAGTTGTACTAGTTGTACTAGGAGCTAGTAGAGGTAAAGGCAAAGTGGGCGAGAGATTTGGCGGTGATTGCGACCGCGCGCGCGTGCCGGCGGCAACCAACATGCGAGCGAGCGGAGCACCGTACCCATGACTACGACGCAGCGGCAGCACAGCAAAGCATGGCACAGCACGGGTCGGGTCGAGGAGATTGTCGGACACCGACCGGTCACCTAGCTAGCCGGTAAGTAGCCAGCGCGCACACATGACACGTCCCTCTCCCTGCCCATGTCGGCGCGCTCTGGCAACGTGCCGCCTCCCGTGTCCCGGGGAGGACAGGCGGGCGGGGCTCACAAAAAAAGCGAGCGAGGTGTGCCTCGGTCGCTGTTTGTCCGTCTACGTGCTGCTGCTCCACGCCTTTCCTTCCTTGGCCACGTGCGGTTGCGGTTTGGTTAAGCGAACACAACAATGGCGATCCGTTTAGGTTTTGGAGAAGATATTGCTGTGCTGTGCTGTGCTGGGCTGGGGTTGAGGTTCGAGGTGCGCCGGTGCGTGCGTACGGCGGTGGCGATCGGGAGCGGCTGACTTCTCGGTGGGGCGGGTGGGTCGACCGATCCTGCTCTGGCGACCTTGCGTCTGCTCGGACGGGAACAGCGCGAGCACAGCGATGCGTCAGTCGGCGAAGGATCCGATGTAGCGCTCCAATTGATTCTAGTACGGCGAGTCGGGACGGCGGGAGGTTGTTGCTTGCTCTGTACGTGCCCGCGCACATGACCCGTCGGCCGTGCACCGCGCGAGTACAGGCTACAGTCTGCAGCAACAAGGCATTGTATTTTGCGCGGGAAAGCTACTCCAATGAACACGTCAAAATCTATCCTTGCCTACTGACACGATTTGCGCGGAAGTCGTGTACTCCTCGGTTCCAAAATAGATGACTCAACTTTATACTAACTTTGTACAGAGTCGAGTCGTCTATTTCAAAACGGAGGGACTAACATCTACGTACTTTGGATTTTCTTTTTAATTGTTTAAATTGCTTACGACATGTGTGCATTGGGTGGATTTGACTACTAGCAAGTAGCACGATGTCCAATCCAACTGAGAGCATCTTTTGCTGGGCTCTTGCTATGGTGCGTCGGGGAGATGCCGCCACGATGGTTACGCGGTATCTTGGAGGTATGGCTGGAGCCGGACCGAGATGAACTTCCCAGAGTTGGAATCAGTCGATGAGGCTCAGTTCATCGCCCCTCCTATACAAATCATTTTTCATGCGTAAGAATAGATGAACCGCCTGGCCGTTGTGTCGCGCCCCGCCGGGGTAGGATGCAATGTACATGCAGAAGTTTATCGAGGCCAATCCGGGCCTCGTGGCGACGAAGGTTGCATTCCTCGCCAAGGACATGAAGCACAAGGAGAATGAAGAGCGTTGTCACAAGATCAAGGCCGAGGTCGATGAGTTGTTCGACCAACTCGATAGGGCGGTTGATGCGACGAGGAGGAGAAGGAGGTCAAGTCGTCTACCGACAACAACCGCATGGCAAGCCCCTCCGGCTGAGGGGTGATCACGACGACAACTTTGATGGGTACCGTGCGCATGCAAAGACATCTTCCCCCGTGGGACGAGGCTCCTCTGACGTACTGCAGGGTGCAGTTGGGCCACTGACAGATGGGCCCGAAAGCAAGTTGGCCCACCTGTCAGTGACCCAACTGCACCCTGCAGTACGACAGGGGAGCCGAGTCCTCCCCCGTGACGGTCTACTGCAAAAAATGAGTGGTAGTTTCTTGATGCATCATAGTAACGTTTAATTCTCTATTTGAAATTTAGATGCATGGAATGAATCATGCTTCAGTTTTAAAAAAATTAGCACCACTTTCACATCATGTGTATAAGCAGCAAGAGCCGGATGCCCCAAAACCATCTCTCCTCTACCCTAAAAATGTTTTGTCGTCACCAAGTTTTTCATCATCTTAGGTTCATAGGATAGAAAATCCATTAGAAAATAGAAAAAAGTTATCGGTGATGAGATAGACATGTGCATCACTTCTTGTAGGAAACAGATGTTGCTTGGTTTATTGTTTTCTTTTTCATCATTAGGTCCGGCCTAATATTTTGCTCTTTGATATGTGATGGAAGACATGAATCCACTATACAAAATCAAAGGGCTTTATATAGAATTTTTTTTAGAAATCATGTCCTATAAAAATCGTACAAAACCACAGAAGGGCTTGAAAGTAGCATTCTGCGGTTTTATATTTCAACCTTGCGCGTGCTGCAACTGAACGTACATTACATACTCTTACGAAGTGCAACAGCTGTTCCACGGAAACGGAGACAAGCAACGCGATTCAGCCACATTTGCTGACATGGGAACGCGCCGTGGTTCACGGAAAACAGAGTTACAGAAACGACGCGATTCTGGCATTTGCTGACATGGGAACGCACTCCACCTCCACCTCCAGAAATTCAGGAGCGCCGCTTCCTTTCTCCGCGCCGTTCTTGCTCCGTTTGCGCGCGCAAACCCGCCCAAATTTTGGTCTCTTTCTGGAGGCAACAGGCAGAGGCAGGCTTGTCGTCCCGCTCCATTGAAACGATGGAACCAACTGCACTGCACTGTGCAGTTTGCCACCCACAGGACAGGAGCCCTCGTTTGTGCGTTGCTGTGATGGAATGCAAGTCCTAATACCAAGAACTACTCCGGTGACGAGCCACGTTACCGGAGAACGCACATGAGAATGGAAGCTAATCGCGCAACAACACGGCTAAAATCAAGACGCAGGGCACAAGAAGAGGGCACGTGAAATCGCATCGCCGTCGCAATTTTTCTTCTTCTTTTGCTTGCTTGCTTGCATAACATCTGGTTAACTAGCTCGCTCGCTCGCTCGCCTAAGGTGATATTAGTGGCCTCCTCGATTAGTCCGTTCCCCGTTGCTGTACCGCAAAAGCACTAGTAGTGGTAGCAGCTCCTATCTAATTTCTCTCTCGAAGCGGAAGGCCTCCACGCCGAATGCCGCCCGCCCGCCCGCATTTTGCGACGTCCGTCGCTTCGCTTCACTTGGCGGCGTAGCTGGGGATCTCGTAGATCTGGTGGATCCGCCAGATGTCGTCGTCGAAGACCGAGGGCTCGGCGGCGGCGGGGCCGACGCCGCCGATGGACAGGAAGTCCTCCTCCACGAACGGGAACCACCCCAGCAGCTTCTCCTCCTCCACCCCGAACGTCCACCACGGCGACCCGTTCGCGCCGTCCATCTCGTCCCACTCAGCCGGCAGGCCGCACGCCACCTCCCCACCTCCTCCTCCGCCGGCGGCGACGCACACGTCGGGGACGACGGGCGCCATCTCCGCAGCAGGGGACGCTGCGGCGACGGAGGTGGCAGCAGCAGCGGCAGCGGTCGCGGCCACCGCGGCGGCATCGCGCGCCGCGGCCGTCTTCTTGCCCGCCGTCGCCGCCGCCTTGGGCTGCCGGGGCTGCTTCGCGCGGCGCTGCGGCTTCGGGTTGGGGTTGCTCCCGGCGGCGGCGGGGTCCTGCGGCTCCGGGTCCTGGGCCTTGGGGTTCTGCGCCCTGGTCCGCTTCATGGCGCCCGGCTAGAGTCCGGAGAGCCCTCCTCTGCTAGCTCTGGTGCAGGGGAGGCGGCGAGGGGAGAGTGAGAGCGCCGGGGGAGTGTGGGGGTGGGGCTGGGGTGATACGATGGTGCTTGGGCTTTGCGGCCCTTTTGTACTCGCAGCGGCGGGGCGGGGTTCGGGTCCGGGTCGCCCTTTTGGCGGTGCGGCGAGCCACTTGGTCGACACCGGTTCGGTTCAGCGGTGTGCTGGGCATTGCTGGCCTGGTCGCAGCGTGCACGCCGCCGCTACACAGCCGCCTTCAGCGCTGGCCGCGTGCGTACGCCGCACCGGGTCCATCCGTCGACCCGGCCCCGTGATGGCGACTCGGGTGGATGTGCATGCAACGCAACTGGGCCTGGTGGCGACCCGCGCGGCGCGGCCGGCCACGTCGCTGTTCTTCTTGGCCTTCCGGTCCGGTCGACAAGGCGACGCATCGATGGCAATGGTAAATCGCGATCCGTGCATTCCGTGACAAATTCACCCTTTTGCTTGTGTCTAGTATGCTAGTACGAGTTATTGCACGTACGCATAGACGGAGATCGCGCCCGTGTTGCACGACATGTGCCGCCGGCGTGCGTCGCGCCGATCCCGTCGCGGCTCACGTGGAGGCGCTCGGGAAGGTGAGCGCCGAGGGCGGCGTGCATGTGCATGTGCAGACCGCATGCCGACACCGTGAAGCATAATTAAGAGATCGGCGTCCAACAATGCATGCTACTCATTACTAGAACCTGCAAGCGCCCAAATTCCACCGGATTTCTACTACTATCATATCATCGTCTCATCTCATCATAATTAAATGTAGCTCGATAACACTGGTTCGTAGTACGTACGTGTACGTGTACTGAGCCGGTGGCGTGGTGCAGCGGTACCACCACCGGTCGTATCTCGGCATTAAAGCGATCGACGAGGGGGCTATTACTACTTTACTTTAAGGGGCCGACATGAGGCTGCCCGTATGTCGGCAAGTCCGAGAATACAGCAACTGGCCGACGGACTGAGAGACGTGGGGCTCGCTCAACTTGGCTGCTGCAACAAGCGGGCGGTGGCGCCTGTATTTTTATCGCGTCGATCCATCGTCGACGACGACGCCACTCTGTCCCAAGAAGATCCGGGGCGACAGCCGAGGCTGGGATTTGTCTTGGCTTCGGTCCTCCTGTTATGCTCTGGCACGGCGCGCAACTTGGGCGGTCCCGGACGCGACTGGCCTGGTCGGCCCCGATGTGCCTTGCCTGCCTGCCGCGCCGGGGTGGTGGGCATGCGTCGGCGTCGCCTGCGCTGGGCCGCTCGCCTCATCGACCGGCCCGGAGCTGTCCAGCCTTTTTGCGTGCACGGAAGAATCAACCACACCGGTCCGTCGGGCGACGCACGGAAGAATCAACGAGACCGACATCATCGTCGTCGCCCCGTTCCCGGCCCAACGCGTGCCCAACTTTTTTGCAACCTACTATGGTTGTAGCCAGGTATCTATCTCTCACCGTCTCCGGTCGGAATAAAAAATATCTGTCACCGCCGGCCGGCGATGAGCGATGCACGGAGGAATCAACGGGATATCATCGTCGTCCCGTCCCCGGCCTGAATGACCTTGCTCGAGATATCTTGCCTCCTGGCCCAACGCGTGCCCAACCTTTCTGCTTTTGCAGCCTAAATTGTGGCCAAGCATCTCTCGCCGTCTCCGGTTGGAATAAGGAATGTCTATCACCGCCGGCGATGAGTGCTACCCTTGCCTTACCTGGCGGTGGCGAGATATTTGGTGCATACGTGTTCGTCGTGTGCTATCGGGTGTGTTCCCGCAAACTGTACGCCTATCACCTGGGGCTCCATCTCATCGGCCAGAGCCTCTGGTGCGTGCAGATCTGCGATTCCATGACGGAGAACATCGTCGTGGTGGACACCTAGCGTCTCGAACGATTCATCATGTACAAGGTCCGGGGATCTCTCAACCCTGCCAGTGTCCTGTGGACCGGGATCAAGATTGGCAATGCCCCCAAGCTAGAAGTGTTCCGGTACTTGGACTATCATCATAGTTACAAAAAAAAAGTGACACAAGCGTTGTGTTCAAGCATCTCCAACAACAGCCCTATAATAGCGCAAAAAAATTGCTTTGAGTAAAATTGAAGGCATCGCAAAGTGTTTTTAGGGCAATCAGAAAATGTTCACCTCCAACAGTAGCCCTAAAATAGGGCACCACTGCTCCAACAATTGCTATAAAATAGCAACATTCAGCGCTGAAATCGCGCAGGCGGTGGTTGGGGATAGGGAAGGCCAGAGAAAAGCCAATATCGTGATCCGTAGGTTGAACCACGCAGGAGGTATGGCACGGCTAATATTCTTGTACGCTATCTGAAAATGCAACTAATCCCCGGATGGTTTTGATAATTAATAACAACATATAAATCATTGATCTAATGCACATTGATAATAGATTTCAGAGAAGTTAAATGATTGGCATGGCAAAGACTAGTGGATGTGGACCCCTCAAAATGCTAAGGACGGAGATTGGCAAAGCTCCATGACTCTATATTTTTGGTTAAGTGATCCAAAATCACATTGAGTCCATAGAAAAGACAATACTATCAAAAGGGGATGAGATTTTGATCATGACTCAATTGCTCAGAATGCTTAATGATATTGCTCCAAAACTCTCAACTACTTCTCTACTTCACTCCTATCCAAAACCCTAGATATCCATCTCGGTCCCACCAAAACACTCCCATCTGGACCCACCGACATGAACCATACACTGCTACACCCCAAACCTTAACACTTCGGTACAGTCGAAATGGATCCCAGTCTCACCGAGATGACCTGACTAAGTTTCTGTGATGAAGTTGCTTCATTTCGGAATCACCAAGATAAACCGATCGGAATTTCCGAAACGAGGTCTTGCCCTAGTAATTGCACTTCGATCCCACCGAGATGTTCTGTTCGGTCTCACAGAAAAGCATAACATTCAAGTCTTTTACACTAGTCGGTCTCACCGAAATTTTCATGTCGGTTTCACCGAGTTGGGTCAAAGACTTGCAACAGTTGGATTTTTTATGTTGTCTATTTATCCCCTCCACCACCATCTACTCAGAGAGAGTGAGCCATTATAATGAACCACAACTTTCACTACTCATTTTCTGAGAAGAGAACCATCTAGTTATGTGCTGAGATCAAGAGATTCCAATCCAAGACATTCGAACCTTGATTTCTACCTTTTCCCAAATTGCTTTCCATTCATTCCTCCCATCCACCAAATCCAAATCTTCGAGAGAGTGTTTGAGTGTTTTGAAGACTATCATTTGAAGCACAAAGAGCAAGGAGTTCATCATCAACAACATCATTTTTACCTTTTAAAGAGTGATGTCTCCTAGATTGGTTAGGTGTCACTTGGAAGCCTCCTAGAGATTGTGGAGTTGAACCCAAGGAGTTTGTAAGGGCAAGGAGATCGCCTACTTCGTTAAGATCTATCCGAGTGAGGCTAGTCCTTCGTGGACGCAGGCCATGATGAAATAGCCAAGGTTGCTTCTTCGTGGATCCTTCATGGGTGGAGCTCTCCATGGACTCGCGCAACCATTACCCTCCGTGGGTTGAAGTCTTCATCAACGTGGATGTACGATAGCATCACCTACTGGAACCACGACAAAAATCGCCGTGTCTTGATTGCGTTTGAAATCTTCGATCTCTCCTTTACATTCATATGCAAAGTCTTTACTTTCCGCTGCACAACTCTTAGACTTGCATGTGTTGGGTGTACTTGACTTGATACAATTTCTAAAACTTGCGTACATCTAAAATTGAGAAAAGAATAAGTTTTTATTTGGTCAAGTAGTCTAATCATCCCCCTCTCGACATACTTTCAATCCTACACTATGACACCTTAGTTGACCTAAGCGTCCCTTGTAGTCCTTGTGTTGTGTTGGCTTGCTCTCTTGTGCCTTGGTTTTGCCGTGGATGCAACTGGGCCTGATGGGATGGACGCAACCGATGTGGTAGTGGAAGTAGTAGAGGCCCTAACACCCCTCCTACTTTGAAAGGCGAAAGCCAACTTATTCCCAAGCCGCCGCCGTCGAAAAGCACTGGCAGATGTCATCTTCTCCTTCCCATGAATCAACATGTGCCAAATCACCCGACCAATGATTAAGGACTTGAGCAATACGTTGTGTTATTGGTGCGATGCCAATTGCGGTCAAGAACCTCCGCGGGAAAGCCAAATGTCATTAAGAGCGGGAAGCACACTAGAGATCAATGACACATGAAAGACATAGTGAACAAATGATGTCTTACGAGATTGCGTTTTTTATGCGATGCACTAGACCACTTTATCAGGGCCGAAAGTAGCGGAGTGAAAGTTGATGATTGCGGCGCTTTACCAACGACAGTTGAATATATGGTTGTAGCTTAAGGAAGAACATGTCACCCCTTGAAAAGGAGCGCTTAGTGTGATGTTTGTCAGCTTGAAATTTCATGCGACGCCGAGCAACGTTGTTGTTAGAATAATCCGAGGCACTCCGTCGATCTACCGAGGACCAAGCAATCACACGAGGCATGACACTGAGATTTATTAACGAGGTTCATCGATATGGCTACATCCCCGGGGCATGACTACGGGCGCTCCTCCCCATGACACCGTCACAATACCGCACCCCGGCCGCCCGGGCGCCGGCACACGCCGCCGGCTCCCCCCGCGTGCCTGTGCTATTATGTTGGCATAGGTTACATCGTGTGTCTACCCCCGCTATATATGAGAGGCCCAGGATACAGGTGTCCTATTAGGACACAACTCCTACCCTGTCTACACACAGTTCAAAACCAAGTCCAACTGTAACCTACCTTGTACAATAATATTCGACACAACTCTAACAAACTCCACCTTGACGAATATTCTCCACCATCTTGGATTCATCCGTGCGTCGAACCTCCATGTATATTGGACTTGAGATACGCCATGAGCACCGCTGCTACTCCCAGATTCCATGTGACTCCACCTG